GCCGGGACGTCTCTGCAGCAGCACAACACTGATGGTGCTGACAATGCACAACAATGTTGACACACTTTTTAGCTTTATCAAACAAATTGCAGCTCCTGAAATTTGGATTTTGCATTTGGCCATATTGCGATTTTGATTATATTTCGATTAATTGTGCAGCTCTACAGCTAAACAGACTCAGTAAAAGACCATAAAAGGGTGAAAAATAAAACTTCCTCGGTCTAAAACTGATAGACATTAAATAAACTGTATTATAAGAGAGAAATATTGTAAATACTCACATTTGAGAAACTGAAAACATCAAATATTTGACATTTGTGCTTGAAAAGTGAGTGAAATTATTATTCGATTATCAAAATAGTTGCCACTTAATTTTTAATTGAGTAATAATTGTGCAGGTAAGGGTGTTTAAGGAGGAGTAATTAGGTCAGGTAACACTGGAGGGGCTCAGGTCGTACTTTGTCGTCGCAGCAGCAGTGTTTGGTGTCTAAAGGAGGTCACCAGGAGGCGGGAGAAGAGGCTTTTAGCAGCTTTTGGCTTATTGTAATAGCGCTGATTTTGTTGGCGAGGTAAGTAAGTTCTCATCTGACTGTGCGAACAGCTGGTTCACGCTGGAACAGATGTAATGGAGGCTGAATTATGTAACTGCAGCCAAAAGGAAGGCGCAGTGTGTGTTCTAATGGACCTTGTGTGTATCCAGTCACACAGTCGGCGTATAGCAGGTTCCAACACGGGACACAGCGGCGTCCCTGCAACGCCACCGCGTCTCTCTGTCGGAGTACAACGTCTCGCTCAAGGACACTTCACACTGTTTTTCTTTTCCTTCTCTTCCATGGCCGCTGACGTTACCCCAGCTCCCTCTATACCCCCTCCCCCACTAACCCCCTCCCAGTTTGCCCCGGCTGAGTTTCAGCTCCAGTTTTCCATCAGTTTTGATTAATAGCTGTTGCTGTATAAATGTTGTTGGTCTCATGCTCCTGATCTCTTTTCTTTGACACTGTTACCATCCATTTTTATTGTCTTCATGTGCAGAGTTTCCCCCCAACCTTTGTGTTGCAGCCCCCCCCCCCCCCAATGGGACCCCCGCCTGAGAAGAAACCAAAAAAAATAAGAGAAAACCTAAATATTTTACTTGTCATCTACCTATTTATATGCACGTGTTTCATTTCAGCTCAGTGTGAGAGTCTCTATCCTCTTTGCTCTTATTTACAGTCACATTTCTCCCCTCTGCTTCCTGTTTCACCATGTGTGTGGTGTAGCCCCTCCCCACACACACACACACACACACACATGCACAGAGAAAGAGGTCGACAGCTCGTTAGGTTAAGTGCTGTGAAAGCTTTCCAACAAGTTTTATAAATCCCCGTAAAACCAAAGATGCAAAGACGTCGATCTCAAACGTCTGAAAGTCAGGACGAAATATCAGCATTTTTTTTTTTTTTGTTTGCTTTTTGCTGACAACCTGTTTAAAATAGGCGGCAAAGCAAAGTCAAATTTGACAAATTGCTATGGAAACAGACTTAATGAATAAACTTCAAGTGATGAAAACAGCAGATGTGTGTGGAGCGACGATGAGGAGACTGAACCTTCCTCCCACAGCACATGAAACAAACACAAATGTCACATTTCCATCACACTTCCAACGCTGTTTGAGGTTTGACTTCCTCTTCTGCGATGAGTTAATGGTTCCTGACGGGAGAAGGTGGAGCTGTTTACCTCCCTGCACCAGCTCCTAACATCTGCATACAGTGGTGGATGTGCGCTACTTTGCAATTTTCTTGCAGATTTTTCTTTTGAACAAAGTGGTTCATGTCTAAAATAGATGGATTAGTTCAGGGTGAGACTCGCTCGTAGAGGTGGGACACATTCTTCGATGATAGCTTATCAATAGGCTGGAGCTGGGGTTGAGCAACAGGATGTATAAATCAGGATTGAGTTGAAAGTTACGGCTGGAGTTGTTACAGTGAAGCTACGACACAGCACCGCTGGAGCTGTGGAGATCAGGCTCAGTATCACCAGCCGAATGGGCGACGGCGCCCGGAGCGACTGTTTGTATCTGTGGACGAAGCCGCATGTGACTCTGCACTTTTGTCGATGTTTGTCTGATGTCGGGTTTTCTCTCTGTGCGACCGAGGGGGCTGCTCGCAACCAACACCAGCGACATTCACCCACTTGCGACGGCCCACCACTCATGAATCCTCAGCGTCACGCCAATCCCCCGTAGATAATACTGCCTTATTTATCACCATGTGCCGGGAGTCATCCTGTCACTCACTGCATTGTCACGGCTGGAGCCTCTTTGTTTCATGTCCCCGGTCATCTGCTCCCGTAAGCTAGCGCTGATGTGTGAAGCTGCTGTTGTTACTGACTGAGGTTTTTTTTTTCCTTTGGTAAAAATGAAAGCTGAAAACAAACGGGGGTCTGTGTGTCTCTCAGAATAACAGGGACTTTGTTTTTAGAAAGGGAAAGTCGCCGTTGAGGTTTGAAGATGGTGTTTTCTGATTCTTTCACATTTACCTCCATTGTGTCTGGATGGTGTTAGATTTGCTGCACCTGTTTCCACCTCCAGCAGCTGTCTGTACAATAAACGTTATGTAGGTCCACTGACAGCTGATATCCTCTCCTGTTTAACCTCAGCAGCCACACACACACCGTCAGAAGCTGTACGTGTTTGTTTATGGCTAATAAAGCACGACCTTTACAGTAAATATGACCAGTGCTCTTAATGTGGTGTCTAAAGCGGTGAGGTTTCATACAAATGATCCACAGTCAGCTGCTCATGATTCAGCGGCGCTCACAAACAGGCCTCCGCTGAAAGAGGAAGTGTTTACTTCCTAGGTTCTTGTTCCTGTAGCTGCAAATATGTTGCATCCACTGTTCATTCCCACTATAAGAGTCTGCAGCCTGCACTGGCACCGGGTTACATTGCACAAAGCTCATTAGAGCGGGAGCACTGGTCTGCAGGGGTCTTGATTAATGAGCTCTAATTTTAGCTAACATATAGTCCTAGCTTTGGTTTTAGTGCAAGTTATTGTATAAAGAGAATATACAGTAATACAGCAGTGGTTCTCGACCTTTTCCAACTCATGGCTCCACTTTAAAACCTCTAAGAGGTTGGCGACCACGTAACAATACAGAAGCCAAATAATACCTTCTCAGAGCAGTGTTTATTTTAATGACATTCAGGAGCGAACTGAAAGCTGCATTTTTCAGCAGTCGGACTTCACACTTCACAAGTTAACGTCGCAGTCTGTCGGCGACAACGTAAAAGTTCCTGTCATTGGTTTATCACGAGAAAAAAAACACAAAGGAAGGAAATTTTCAACATTTTTTAAAATGTTTTTAAAAGATCATTTGAAAACATTTAAAAACATGAATTATATTTTCATTATTATTTATTTTATAATTACATCTCCGTTTCACCAAAATCGCACTGGTTTTTTAATGATTTGTCGACCTACAGTTTTAATGCTGCTGAGACTGTTGATACGTCAGATGTGTAATTCTTCGTAGACTGTTAAACTACTTTTTTATGTGTTTACATTTTACAGGCAATGCCACAGACACCCGTTGTATTTAAATCTCATTCATTGTGTACAATACAAACTCTATTGGTAGCTGAATAAATAAACCTAATCCAGTTAAGCTATTATGACTGTACTATTGTAGGCTTGAGAAATATCCAAAGTTTAATATCCCGATACAGTCCAGCCCAAATATTGCAATGTGTAACTTAATGTAATATAATATATTAATATTATTGTATATATTATAATATGATAATATTATTTATTATAGTAATATAATTAGATAGTTGTATTTTATATATTTATATTATGGTATTTTATGTTTCAGTTGTTTATAGATTCTATAGGTCTAAGCGATGCTGCCGTTAAACATCAGATCAATTTCTAATTATTTTATTTGTCACATGCCAATTAGGCAAAGCAGTGGAAGGAGGGTCGGACTCGTCAGCTGGGCAGACGGTGCAAAACTGGGGAAAAAAAGAAGAAAATGTGATATGAAAAGTATTGCATATGGTGGGACATATTGTAATAATCAATACGGTCGAATATCAGCAGGAGCTGAGTGACTTGTACACCATTAGATTTCTAGTTTTATGGTGCATTAAAGTCTATGGAGATCCAATCACACCCATTGTATTTATAATGCCACTGAAATCTGAAAACACTCTGTGGTGCACTAATGGACTGTGAGTGTGTTGTTGTTATGATGCGACTGTTGTGCATTAAAGCCGAACGCAGAAGTGCATCTATAGCAATCAATACGCCTCAAGGCCAATTAGTGATCACGTGATTATAAAGTCGTCCTTCAGTATCAGCGGGTTAGACCCTCCTCTCCTTCTGTGTTTTCCTTTTCTTTGGACTTGATTGTGGAAGCAGAAGGTGAGTGTTGATAGTGTTGATAGTGTTGTTTGTCCGCTGGTGGAAAAGAGGTGTGTGTGTGTGTGTGTGTGTGTGTGTGTGTGAGGGGGGGGGGGGCAAACACTATCAAAATGTAAATACTGGGAAACATATGAGCCCAGCCATAAGGAGCCAGGGGTTTGTCTTCGCCCGCACATGCTCAGTGTGCACCTGCGGAGGTTGTTTGTAGGTGAAGTCCAGACACTTCCCTCTCGTGCATGTAGGGTGCTGGTGTAGTGCTAATGGGCCCGTGGAGGGGGGGCGCTAATTGATTCATTCTCCCCACTCTCGTTCTCATTAACACCCGTTCCCTGGGTAGCTTGTATCTCTCCAGGTTCCCCCGGAGCCTCCCATGTGTCCCTCTCTCCCTCCCCGCCGCTTCACTCTGGTCTGGGGACAGGTGTCAGGGAGAGTCCCAAACCGAGGCCGGGATCACAGACGGGAGGTGGAGGTGGAGGAGGACAGGTTGTTGCATGTGGCTGAGTGAGCTGGTGATGATGCTGTATATTAACCCACTTGTTCCTCTCTCTCTCTCCCTCCCCACCCCCACCACCCCCACCCACCTTGTGTTCGCAGCATTCGCAGCGTGATGCAGAAGTACCTGGAGGAGAGAGACGAGCTGACGTTTGACAAAATCTTCAACCAGAAAATTGGTAAGTCTCAACATCTGTATCATATTAAAGCACCGCTCGGACACAGTAATGACATCACCGGGGTTCAGCAGTCTTCCTCTGCCGCACAGACAATATAATAAAACAACAGCTGAAATCTGATTTATTTGAATATGATCCCATTCACACCAACATAACCTCTGAGCTGCTGAGGTCATGCTCTCCATTCATACAGTAATTTAACTAAAACACAATCATCTTAAAGGCAGAATACGAACTTTTCTTCCTTTTGAAATCGTCTAAGAACAACTTTGTTCTATATGTTGTGGAGTCGTGCTCTTACTTTATGTCTCCGGACATTTTGAAAAGAGGAATCTGTGATTTTGATCAAGCTAATGGTGCGTTTCATTTACTCGCCTGCAGGTGGCGTTATGTCGTCTCTGATCATTTGAGCGTCAGCGTTGTGGTCGTTTACTAGAAGCTCAAAATGGACTTTTTATCCAGTTTTAAGTCCCATTTTTTTATGTTGCACGTTTTAGATCTTGGTCGTTTTTGACTTTTAGATTTTGACCAGACGAAGGATTTTAGTGGTTGAACGTCTGGATCTGAAGTTTTCAGAGTAGATGTCAGCGGCAGCCGCTCTGAGACGAGTGGTGGTGAAACCCTGATTTTTAAGATGAAACTGTTTTATTCAGTGTTTCTACTGGGTTTAATCAGCGGTTTGTTCTGGAAAGGAGGAGACCTGGTTAAGACAACAACTCCCATGATTCCCTGTTACTCCCCTAGTGGCTGAAAATCACACATTGTTGCTTCGAGGATTCACTTGTCGGCGTCTTTTTCGGAGCTTCCGGCCTCATTTCCTCTTAATCAGCTGATAGTCTGCTCAGGGAGTTAGTCTGGAAAACCCCACCCACTGATGAAGGCCATGAGATGTGGCTGAAAGTATAGATAGAAAGTAAATGTTTTTAAAAAAAAAAATCCAAAATCTAATTTCAAAGAGCTGGTGAGTGTATTGAATTATTCAGTTGTGGCTTTATTGGAGCAGCTGTTGTTGACACTACAAACATGTTAGAGTCATTTCTCTCCTCTGGACTTACAGATATTATCTTCTTCTTCTTCTTCTTTTGTGGTGTACAGCACCTGATATCTTTGACTTTGCTCTACTTATTCTGCAATTTCGGTATTTTAGCAATTACCATTATTCTGTAATTGTCATTTACAGCTTCCATGACAAACGCTAACTTTACATTTAATGGCTGTTCTCATGGATGAAGCGCTGGGATCCTCTAATCTCCGAGGTTCATGAATCGTTTTTGTCTCTTCTCGCTCTTTTTAGCCGCCGTAGCTGCGTGGCTCTAGAAATGACGGTGTCGATGTCAGGGATGTCCAGAGAAAGAACCTTAATCACGTTGGTGATAGTCTGACTTTTCATTTAACGGCACCGGCAGGTTTTTGGCTTCCAGTGAAATATCTCAACCTCTCCTCGGATGTTTGGCTTCAGAAACCTGACGCAGACATTCATGTGCAGCCTCACAGAGCTGCCAGCATAACTGTGGTCTTGTTTTATTTGCAATGTCCAAAGCATTGACAAAGACGAGCACTGCCAACTGGAGATGATATCAGCTGTAGTGAATTAACATTAATCACCAAAAGGCCAGGATGAAGCTCGGCTGCCGTCTGGCTGCTGCTGCTGCTGCTGCTGCTGCTCTGTGAGCCCGTGTTTGTGACGTAAAAGGAGCTCGACAGTCTTGTGTTGTTGTGGTCGTTCTTCTTGGTAGAATGTAAAATAAGTCGTTGGTCTTCACCTGTCGCACATCTCATCTTGAATGTTAGTTGTTTTTAATGTTTGAAAGCAGAATCCAGATGAATTTGATAAAGTGGATTCATTGTGTTGCTGCTAAGTGGGATTTAAGCTGTGCAAATAACGTGCACCTACATCCACCATCTACCACATTGATTGCTTGTGAAGTGAGGTGTTAACTCTGTTGTTATTGGTCTCTCTGGGGTTTCTTCATTAGCGCTGCTGGTCCTGACATCCAGACCCATGAAGCCATCGATCAAACAAACTCCCTCACCTCAGTGTTGTCATGACGCAGCGTTTTAACTTCTTTTATCATTTTCTGCTCTGTCATGGAGCTGCGTGTCTCACACTGTCCCGATACCTGCCGCCACTCCTCCCTGCAGAGCTGTTGGCCGTGGTCGCGGGGGCGGCTCAGTTTGTGTTCAGTGTGTTTAGTGTCAGCGCTGTCGATCCAGCGCCGAGCGTCACGTTTCCTGCTTCCTCCTGCCCTCCAGTCGGTAGCAGCGCCTCTGTGCTGGCTCCTCCGAGTGTTTCCATTCTGAGCAGACGGGCTTCGTGCCAGAAGTTGTGGCGTACCAGGGGACCACAGCTGCCCTGCAGGCTCCTGCTTGGTTTACTTACTGTTCTAGGTCTCAGCCCCCCTCTGAGAATAGACTGCGTTAATTCTCCCGGCCTCCTTCTCTTTGTCTTCAGCTCTCCCTCCGTCAGACTTGTTGCTCTGCTTGTTTCTCTCCGTCTCTTACGTTCAGTATCATCACCTCATCCTTCCTCTCTTGTGTGTGTGTGTGTGTGTGTGTGTGTGTGTGTGTGTGTGTGTGTGTGTGTGTGTGTGTGTGTGTGGGGGGGTGGGTGTGGGTGTGGTGTGTGTGTGTGCGCACCATGCTAGACACCAGAATGAAGCCCATGACACCACCGCTCTGAGAATGTTTGAATGAGTCCAGAAGAACAATTTGCAAGAATTTTATACTTGATTAATTGTGATTGGTTCATAAAGTTGTAATAGTAGTGTTGTGCAACAACAATGGACTTTAAAGAGAGAAAAATACAGTTTCAGTGGTAAAACATTTTGTAAGACAGAAGAAATATTGTTTTACACAGAACAAAGTTCCCAGGCCGACGTCATTTAAACATGCGGATAACGGCGGCCATTTTCCTGTGGAAGGCGTTCACAGTGTTGCACAAACCTAGTCCATGTCCTGGTCTGTGTGTGGTCAATGTGCAAGAAACAAATAGTTAAACACTGTCGTGGAACTGCTGTAAAAAACTACGTTCATAGTGGAAAGTAGCTAAAGTCAGTAAAGTTAATAAGCTAAGCAGATAAGCTAAATGTCGCTAAATGACGGAATACTATATCTTAGCATTTTTTCATGACGTTGTTGCGTCCTCTTTGCATCCAGCTGCTTTCAGCTCTTCATCGTTCGC